ACAACCAAGGTATGCAGAATACCATCTCTGAACCCCCAACATGTTGAACCTTGAAGCAGGTAGGTTACAGCAGAAGAAGACCACACTGGCTGCCAGTCTTCTCAGCTAAGAACAGGAAACGGAGGCTACAATTTGCACGGGCTCACCAAAATTGGACAGTAGAAGATTGGAAAAATGCCTGGTCTCTGAGTCTCGATTTCAGCTGAAACATTCAGATGGTAGGGTCAGAATTTGGTGTAAACAACATTAAAGTATGGATCCATCCTGTCTTGTATCAATGGTTCAGGCTGGTGGTGGTGGTGTGGGGGATATTTTCTTGGCACACTTTTGACCCCTTTGTACCAAGTGAGCATCATTTATATGCCACGACCTACCTGAGTATCGTTGCTGACCATGTCCACCCCTTTATGACTACTGTATACCCATCTTCTGATCGCTACTTCCAGCAGGATAATGCACCATGTCACAGCTCAAATCATCTCAAACTGGTTTCTTGGATATGACAATGATTTCACTGTACTCCAATGGCCTCCACAGTCACCAGATCTCAATCCAATAGATGGATCCAATAGACCTTTGGGATGTGTTGGAAGGGGAGATTCGCTTCATGCATGTACAGCCAACAAATCTGCAGCAACTATGTAATGCTATCATGTCAATGTGGCTGCCCTGCTGCAAAGTGAACATAGGGGTTTGCTCGCTTGGCACAAGTATCATTCAGAGAATGCCTTGTATTTTCCTAAATGATTTGGACAAGGTAAAGATCATGATGTCACTGCCCTGCCTCTGCACCTTGTATAATTGAAGAGTGCTTTGCATTTATTGAGAAAAACAAATTATTTGAATAGAACCTGTGCAAAGCAAGCAACCCCCTGTATTCACTTTGTAGTAGAGCAGCCACTTGGCACTGGACTCAAAAGTAGTCAATGGTTTGGCAAGAGTCAAAGTAGTAGCAGTGACTACTACAGCCAATCTCCGGAACCACAGAGATCAGCCAAGTATAGAATAAACATACTTCTATTGGTCCAAGCTGGACCAATGTAGCCATACAAAAATATCCATATCTGGAACTTCACCTGGGCCTGTGAAAGTTAAAAGTCTGCAGACAAATACTGTTGCTGATGACTTTTTAGAAACAGATACTTATGAGCCCATGAAGTCCAGTACTGTCTTCCCCAAAGCCAATTCTACTCAGGACTTTGGATCTTTGTGCTGCCATCTTGGCTTCGAGAGCTGGTTGTTACTCTCTGGTGGCTCCCAGCAGCCCCCTTACCTACCGTGGGATCACTGACTGTAGGTGGCCTTGTCCTTTAGCTTTTGGCATGTGTAATGTTATCCCAGGAACCTGCGGGTGAGTGGAGGGTACATCAACTCAAGCTTAGGTGAGGAATGTGAAAGTGGGAGTGGGTACCACAGAAAAAAGGTACTTGTTCCATTACAAAAATGGATTTCCATATGTTTAGGTGAAGGTCCATTTCAACTTTCTTACCTAGAGATTCATCCAGTAATGGCATTTCTATGTCCGGGTGACAGTGCTAAGCAGCAGCATTGTCACCCTGCAGTGTGCACTGTCAGTCAGCTGTTGGAATGCCAATCAGGTGGACAGGAGGAATGCGCCTAACTATAAGGCAGCCAAATGGTCAGCTGAAGAACTGTGCATGACGGGCTGCAGCTAATTGAATGGCAGGGGCTTAGAGTGGTCAGCCTTAAACAGGAAATGCCTTTACCGGATGGCTCTACAGGTAAGAAACTTTGTAACAGGTTCACAAAAATTGATTTGTTTAAAAAAAATGTAGCGAGTATGATTCCAAACATATGAAATAGTAGCTTTTGGGTTTACATACACTTTAACCACTTGCCGACCTCCTCACTTAGACATACAGCAGCAAAGCAGCCTCTCTGTGATGGATCATGTCTCTGATATGTGATCCAGCTTTTCTGGGTACAGGGCACATGCCCATCGCGTGATTAGTTACAACACAAGCCGATCGGTAGGTCCTGGCCAGTGATTGATGGCCTGGACCTGCACATCAGCAAAGCGGATGACGGGGCAGAGCTCTGTGATTGCAAGCAACACAAAGCTCTGTCCTGACAGCAGGGATGTGACTGTTGTGACAAGATTAAAAACCGGCACATCCCTTAATAAAATCAGCTCACACAGTAAACCCACCAAGCATTGTTAGGCACACAGTTAACCCTTTGATTGCCCCTAGATGTTAAATCCTGCCGCCTCAACCTCCAGAACATTTCCAAAATCTGCCTCTACCTGACCAATGACACCACAACACAACTTATCCACGCCTTGGTTATATCCCGCCTTGATTACTGCAACTCCCTCCTCACTGGTCTACCGTTACACAGGCTATCCCCCCTTCAGTCTATTATGAATGCTGCTGCTAGACTCATACACCTTACCAACCGATCAGCGACTGCTGCCCCTCTCTGCCAATCCCTCCACTGGCTTCCACTAACCCAATGTATAAAATTCAAAATACTAACCACAGCTTACAAAGCCATCCACAACACTGCCCCTAGCTACATCACCAACCTCATCTCCAGATACCGCCCAAATCTCCCACTCTGCTCTTCCTCTCTAGCTCCCTCATCACTTCCTCCCACGCTTGCCTCCAGGACTTCTCCAGAGCCTCTCCTATCCTCTGGAACTCCCTACCACAGCATGTCCAATCAGCCCCCACCCTGTCTGCCATTAGGCGATCTTTGAAAACTCACCTCTTCAGGGAAGCCTACTGCACCTCCACCTAAGAACTGTACTTGAATCACCTCCACCAGATCATCCCCTTGCATCTATCACCTTTTGTATCACCTCCCCCTTCCTTTAGATTGTAAGCTCCATGAGCCGGGCCCTCCTATTCCTTCTGTACTGAAATGTATTGTAATTGTACTGTCTCCCTTATATTGTAAAGCGCTGCGCAAACTGTTGGCGCTATATAAATCCTGTATAATAATAATAATAATGTTAGCCCCCTCCCAGCCAGTGTCATTAGAACAGTGTCAGTGTATATTATTAGCACTGATCACGGTATTAGGCTCCATGTACACTGCAGCTGATAAACTCACGTTTAGGAGATGTTCAGCATTTTTTTCAGCAGCCCCTGAACTCTCCCTAATGTTCTCCTATGTGTCCATGTACACATCTTTGTTTACAGTCGTTTGCAGGCAGTTGAGTTTACAGTAGTTTTTTTTTAACGCAGCAAACTTGCATTCGAGAGTAGATTTTATCAGCGTTTCAAATGCCAAACGTAAACGTGTGTAAACATGGCTAACCGCGTTTATAAGCGTTTGCAAGAATATTTTAACTCTTCCATTTCCAGATGCTGTCCAGAGCCTTTTTTCATCATGGAAAATGCATGCAAAGCGTTTTCCCAGTACTCAAATGGACCCGGTACACCATACTTTGAAGTTTTGCATGAAAGAAAATATGTTAGACACTGTTGCAATAATTTCTGCACAAAAAAAAGACAGCTAATCTCAGCAAATACTGCTCTCTCTGCTTCTGCTCTCTCTATGTATCTCAAAATGTCTGAAATTTTGGGCATTTTGGAAAGTCTCCTGAGGTTATCTTTAAAAAACGCTTCTAAACGCAAACGCTCATAAACACGGTATGCAAACGCGGCTAAACAGATGTTTTTTAACCTACAGCACAGCCATCCAGAGCAATGTGCTTACTGTGAAGCACACTGACACCACCCCCCCCTAGTAAAACACTCCCTGCACACAGTTAACCCTTTGATCGCCTCATGTTAACCCTTTCCTGCCCAGTGCCATTAGTAGTGTCAGTGCTTTTTTTTTGTTTAGCACTGATCACTGTATTGGTGTCACTGGGGATGTCATTGACACCAAGTCAGTTCCCCCCAGTGTCAGAATGCCCAGCGCAGTCCCGCTATAATCGCACATTGCCACCATTACTAGTACAAAAACAAAATCCCAGTATCTATAGCACACCATTTGTAAACACTAAAACTTTCACAAAAAACTTTTAATTTACACTTACTGGGATTTTTTCTTTTGCAAAGACATAGCAAAATACATTTTGCCTAAACTTATGACGAAATTTGATTTTTAAAATTTTTTTACTGGACATGTTTAATAGCAAAAAATCAAAAATATTGTTTTTTTTCTCAAAATAGTTGGCCTTTTTTTTTTATAGCACAAAAAAAAAACTCAGAGGCACCAAACAGCACCAAAAGAAAGCTCTATTTGTGGGAAAAAAGGACATAAATTTAATTTGGGTGCAGCGTTGCATGACAGAGCAAGTGCCAGTTAAAGAAAAGCAGAGCCAAAACGCAAAAAATGGCCTGGTCAGGAAAGGGGGTAAACCCTCAGGAGAGCAATTGGTTAATAGAGAAATGTCAGCCTTGGCCCAGACAGGAAGTGCTGAAAGCAGAGTTGCGTCACTTTCATGCGTTTCCCCCAATTCCATGGCTCGGGGACCCTATTATTATACAGGATTTATATAGTGCCAGCAGTTTATGCAGTGCTTTACAACATGAGGATGGCAGTACGAACACAATACAGGAGGATTCAGGGGGTCCTACTCGTTAGATCTTACAATCCAAGGCTCTATAGGAGATTGTACAATCTGATTGTATGGTGTATGGGGAAGCTTGACTCTGCAGGAGAGATCAGCCCATCTACAAGCACAGTAATAAATCAGAGAGTCATCTACCGCGCAGTGTGATCAACCCTGGAGACACAGAGAGGTGAGGAGGCAGGAAGTGTGTCTACCTGTCACTGCCCCTCCCCCTTCCCCGACCTCCTAACCGCACCACATCAGAACAACAGCGTCCCTACATCGTCCTGTCACTCGGCTCCGCCCTCTTCTCACTTTTGCCCAATAGAAGTAAAGAAAAACAAGTTTTCTCCCCGCCCCTCTGCCGCTAACCATTCAGCAAATTAGAAATGCAGGGGGTGGTGCCTAAGCCCGCCCCTAATCCGCACGTGTGTGTTACCGAGCTGGGAGTGACAGCTGCGGACTCGGCATGGAGGGGAACAGCAAGGGCAGGAAGAGGGAGACCGAGGTGAGCCGGGGAGGGGTGACCGCCAGGGGAGAGCACCCCCTTCTGGAGGGGGACCGGCAGCACCGAGGAGGAGGAGGGGGGGTGCCAGGCGTGGAGCATGTGTGTCGATCGGGGGGGGGGGGGGGGAGGCTGAGCAGTGAGGCTGGTGTCACGGGAGGAGGGGGTGCGGTGTCAAGAGGGCAGCATGGGTGTTGTATGGAGTGCCTTCCATGGCACCCAATCACCTTATAGAACCAAGGATGGGATGTGATTGGTTGATGTATTGCTTCTGTACTCTTCTAAATCAGGTTAACCCCCCCCCCCCAGCTGTGGAGCACAAACGGTTAACTGCCCCCCAATCTTCACTGACGTTATGATAGAAAACCATCATGGCTGACAGTAGACAGGTACTTACCTGTAGGTAGGTGTCCCTGTGATCAGAACTCTCCATACAGGGTGTGATCATTGAATTGTCACTAAGTGCCTTTGTTTAGACTAGCAGTTGGGGGGGTAATAAATACATGGAATAAGCCATGCTTTTACCACCCTCCTTAAGCTGCAGTGGCAGAGAACAGGGGGGGGTTTCCCATTCTGCTGTCCTGATGCTTTGTGCCATCAGCAAAAATGACCCAACAATTTGCAACTGACAGGTGGTATCTCACCGATCTGCCCGCTACTGCTTTATGCAGGCAGAACCGAACGCCTCACATCACCTCCTTCACCTGTTTGTTGCCTTTGAAAAGCGATCTGAATGCAAATTGCTTTTCAGAGGAGTGGCAGTTTAGATGTATGTCTAAACCTAACCTTATGTACTGTACAGCTTTATTCCAGGTACTTCTTTAGGGCTTTAGGGTTCCTTAATGCCAGCGGTTGAGGGGAGGTAAAACCCCTGTGGTTGAGCTACACTTTACTGCCCCATAACTGCTACCCCCTGTTAGTTGCAGAGGCAGCAGATTGGGGTGTACAGTTCTCAGAGCTGCAGCAGGAACTATCCCTCTGTTGTTTTGCAGTACTGCCCACCGAATGTGACCCATACAAGTGAATGGGGCTGCCCTGTGTGTGGGGTTCAGGGGACTAAGCAGACAGTGAAGAGGCGATACAATGACACCTCACCGTCTGTCAAATGCTGTCTGAAGAGTAACTTGAATGCAGATTGCTCTTCAGAGGGGGAAGCTAGTGTGAACAAGCCCTTACATATTGTGCGTTCCCATCAGTCCCTTTACTCAAAGCACTTACAATCGGAGTCCCTACCTCACATGAATATACTAGGGAGAATTGTAGACATCAGCCGATTAACCTGGCAGCATGTCATTTGGGTGCCCAGAGCAAATCCACACAAGCAAAGGGAAACGTGCAAACTCCATGCAGTTAGTGTCCTGGTTGGGATACAAATTGAGGGACTCGATGGTGCCAGGCAGGAGTGCTAACCACTGAGTCACTGTGCTGCCCAGGTGACTAGTATGTAAACCACTCCTGTCCTGAAATGATGATATGATTCCTAATCAAATGTAATCCAATTTGTAAATGTTTGTTTATTAAATCTTGCAAACAACTAACATCATAAAAACTCCATTTACATATATAGAGAATAAAATATATATAATTAAACAAAAGCAGCTTAGTTCAGCAAAATAGTAATTTGTAATTCCCTGTAATGCCAACCATAGACGGTTCGAAAATAGGTTGATGTTTCGTCCCCAAAAAAATTTGCACTGTTAGTGGGTTAATTGTCGGCCGTTTTTTTTTTTTTTTTTTATCAGTCATGTTGAAATTTCGCGGCCGATTTTCCTGGCAATGATGGGCATATCGGCCGATCGTTTTACCGATAAAAAAATCTGTGCATGAGCCGTGGCCTGCAAGGGACAGAAGTTATGGGGTGAACTTTATGATTTAGTTGGCCAATTTTTTTTTTTTTTTTTTTTTATCGTTGGCGGTAACGTTGGCTAAACGAACGACCGATTTATTTATTTATTTTTTTCGAAAAATGTTTTGACCCGTCTATGGCCTCCATTAGGCCCCTTTCACACGGGCATTCTGTTTTTTTCATCAATCCAGTCATGTTTTTTCCAAGATAAAACTGATCAGTTCACGTCAGTTTTTCATCAGCTTACACCCGTGTTTTTTTTTTTTTCTTTTTTCTTCATCAGCTTACACCCGTGTTTTTTTTTTCTTTTTTCTTCAGTTTACATCTGTGTTTTTTTTGTCATCAGTGTACAGCCGTGTTTTTTGTTTTTTTTTTTTTTCATCAGTTTCCGTCATCAGTTTTTTTTTTTTCACAGTTTACATTCATTTTTTTCATCCATTTACATCATTTTTCCATTCGTTTTCATCTGTTGTCTGTTTACATCCGTTTTTTGTCTGTTCTGTTTTTATTTTATTTTTTTTTAACGGAAGAAAAACAGGGTTTTCTTCTGTTCCAAAAAACGGATGTTAGCAGATGCAGACATTAATGGATGTAAACAGATGACAATCCGTTTACATCCGCTGGTCCATAGAAATACAGTGGTGTCAGTTTTTCAATCATAAACAGACAGGTGAAAAACGGACATACGGAATGCCCATGTGAAAGGGGCCTAAGTGTCTGTGACCCTAAAGTGGTTCTAAAGGCAAATGATTTTTACCCCTAAAGAATTCTCTGCATTAAGGTAAAAAGCTTCTAAATTGCACCCCCCCCCCCCCCCCCACCATTCATAGAAACCGTACTACAACTTCCGCAATAGAAACTTGATCTATAAATGGAGAATGGGTGGCTGATTGAAAGGTCTGCCCCCTCCATTCATGGATTGTGTGTCATTCAAGTCTGCAGCTTTCCTGATAATAATACCTGCTGGATCCTGCCATGAAGATCACTGTTCAAGCATTTCCTGTTACTTGATGACAGTTGTCTCCCTACTTTTCTTGTGGGTTGTGGTCAGGGGCGGACTGAAAACTCATGAGGCCCCCGGGCAATAGGGGATCATGGGGCCCCTGTGTCCTTGCCCAAACTCAAAAAAGCCTATGAAAAAGGTACCAGGGGCATCTCATGGGGCCCCCTACTGACCCTGGGCCCTCGGGCGGTGCCCGAGTTTCCAAATGGTCAGTCCGCCCCTGGTTGTGGTAAAGATGCTCAATTATGTTGAATGGGCTGCCAAGGCACAAGAATGGACACAAAGCATACATGAAGCAGCTCCTTATGCAGCGCCACACAGTAGTATGTTGCCATGTGTTGTAACACGCTGCAACACGTGTGCATCGAAGCTGCGTTGCCTAAGTCTAGATTCACACCTATGCGTTTTCCACTGCGTTTTGCAAACAGCAGTCCATTTAACATGATTTCATGTGGAACAGGTTCACATCTCTGCGTTTTCACCCGGTGCATTTTTGGAAAGGATCAGGGATTTTTTTTTACGCAAAACATTGCAATTTTGGTTCTATAGACTTCAATGAAGATGCTGCAGAAAAGCATGTAGTGCTTTCTTGATGCGTTTTTGACACGTTTTTTGTCAAACAAGTAAAAAAAAAAAAAGTTAAAAAAAAAAACTCTGCAGAAAGGCATGTGCAAAAACACAAAATGCACTGCAGAAACGGATCAAACGCAATCTGCATAGGTGTGAACCTGGCCTCAGTGCATTGAGGTTCCTTTCCAAATGAATGCTGTCACAATTATCTAACATTTATGAGATGAAAGGGAGTTTTATCCCAAGGTGACAATCTGGCTTCATCATTTAACTGTCAGATGCCAGAACGTCCATCAAGGACGAAGGATTTGTGGAGTGACATGTGGATGACAAGGGGCAGGGTGTTTCTAATAACTGTATAGTGTTCTATGCTTCTAGTATCCATTGTATTCATTTTTTGTTATCTCGGATGCTTTTCATTTGTTATTTTTTCCACTTGTACATTTGGGCCAAGCTGTCCAGCAGTATATTGACAAAATACATTGACAGGGCTTGGGACAAACCATAGCAGTATCAGTCACATAATTATTACCCTGGATTACATCTTTACAAAACAAAAAAAAAAAAAGTTGCTGCAACTCCTGTGGCAGCTGGGCCTCATGTATACTTGACGTTTTAGTGGAGTTCCAGTCACACTGAGAAAAAATAAGTCAGCAACTACAAAAACTGTACAACCAGACACTTGCCTTTTCCTCAATTCCACTGTGTCCTCCCAGCAGCCCGTTTCACTGGCCATCCTGTGTTCTCGGCACCAGCATCTTCAGTGTGGGCACTCGGCTGTGACAGCTTGCGGCTTTACAGCCGGGTGCCCACTGTGCATGTGCTTTTCTGAATCGTCCCATAGTCTTCTGGGACCTGTAGAAGACTAGTGTTGTGCCTAGGCCAGTGGTCCCCAAACTTTGGCCCAGGGGCCGGATGAGGCCCTTTGCTTGTTTTTTACCTGGCTCCTGGGGTATTATTTCCCCCGCCCCCCCCCCCCCATTGTCCGCAACATTAGGGCACAGTTCATGCCACTGACACCAACAATGGGGCTCTAGCCCTCTCACTGACACCAACAATTGGGGCACTAGTCCTCTCACTGACACCAACAATTGGGGCACCGTTGCTCCCACCGACACCAGAGACGGGGCACCGTTGCTCCCACCGACACCAGAGACGGGGCACCGTTGCTCCCACCGACACCAGAGACGGGGCACCGTTGCTCCCACCGACACCAGAGACGGGGCACCGTTGCTCCCACCGACACCAGAGACGGGGCACCGTTGCTCCCACCGACACCAGAGACGGGGCACCGTTGCTCCCACCGACACCAGAGACGGGGCACCGTTGCTCCCACCGACACCAGAGACGGGGCACCGTTGCTCCCACCGACACCAGTGACGGGGCACCGTTGCTCCCACCGACACCAGAGACGGGGCACCGTTGCTCCCACCGACACCAGAGACGGGGCACCGTTGCTCCCACCGACACCAGTGACGGGGCACCGTTGCTCCCACCGACACCAGTGACGGGGCACCGTTGCTCCCACCGACACCAGTGACGGGGCACCGTTGCTCCCACCGACACCAGTGACGGGGGCACCGT